AACACTGCCTTGGGGTACTCCAGATTGAATAGGCTTCAAGTCGGTTAAAATTTCTTGAAATTTAATCTGGAAGAATCGTTCATTTAAGTAAGATTTTAACAAACTGTAAAAAGAATGGGGGAGCAAGGATTTAAGTTTATACAGAAGTCCAGTGTGCCACACTTTATCGAATGCCTGTTGTACATCCAGAAATGCAGCAGAACAGTACTTTTTGGTTTCAAATGAATGTTTAATGATGTCTACTAGTCTGTGGGTTTGTTCAACTGTAGAGTGTCCTTTCCGGAAGCCAAACTGATGCTCAGGAATCAAATTTAAGTCTTCTATAATTGGGTTCAATCTTCTTAGGATTAGTTTTTCAAATAATTTGGATACAACAGGAAGCAAACTTATGGGTCTGTAGGACGAGACCTCATTTGGTGGTTTGCCTGGTTTTGGAATTACCACAAGTTGAGCTATCTTCAATTGAACTGGAAAATATTCTAGCCGTAATATTGCGTTAAATATGAAGGTCAGCAATAATATTCCTTTTCGTGGCAATTCTTTCAGAATCCTGCCAGTGATTAAATCGTATCCGGGACTTTTCTTTGGGTTTATTTCCTTTTGTATTACTTTTAGAACTTCGGACGGTGTACAGGGTGATATAGGCAAAGATAATTGATTAGATGAATCCAAATATTCAAAAATATCACTCTCGTCGTTTGGTGGATTGGGAAGTAAGGGCTTGAATACTTCTGAAAAGTAATTTGAGAATATACTTGCTTTCTCCATGTTAGTTTTGGCCCAATTTCCATCATTTTTCCTGATAGGTGGAACATGTTGTACTGGGCGCTTTACGTACCTCGTGGATTTCCATAAGGAGTAATCTGTGGCTTCAGTTGGAGATAAATTGTTGGTAAAGTCGGAAAACCATTCATTCTTTAGATTTACTAAACATCGTTTTAAAGTTTGAGCTGCATGATTAAACCTATTTTTATCAGCTGGGTTTCGAGTATTCTGCCAAATCCGTCTTAGCTTGCGTTTCTCAGCAATTCGTTTTTTTTATAAACAAAGGATAGTTTATCGATTTCGTCACCGAGGTTTTTGCTTTAGGAGTGGCTTCCCAACCTGCTTTTTGTATAGTGGTATTGAAGTAATTAATTGATTCCTTCAAATCTGTTGGGATTTTTAACGGAATTTTCAGGTAAATATTACTGTTTATTAAGTCTCTAAAGTGATCCCAATCAGTGAATTTATTGCAAAGGAACGGTGGTTGTTCTTTAAGAGAAATGATCTTACTGTATGTTATGATTACAGGAGAGTGATCAGAAGAAAGATCAAGGGATGATTCTACATCAATATAGTTCAATGAAATGCCCTTTAGTACGCAAAAATCTAATAAATCTGGCACTTTGTTTTGGTCCGTTGGCCAATAAGTAGGTTGGCCTGTCGAAGCACAATCAAATCCATTTTCAGTTATGGCGCTATAAAGCGTTCTTCCTCTAGGAGTTATTAGTCTTGATCCCCAGTGGGTGTGTTTTGCGTTATAGTCTCCACCTGCAATGAATTTTGAGCCAAGAGATGAAAAAAATGCTTTAAACTGGTCTTTATTGATACCATGAGGTGGGGGACAATAAACAGCCGACAGTGTCAAAGAGCTATCATGCCCGTCCTCTTAAACTACGCTGGTAGCTTGTAGAAAATTATTTTGTGTTTTAGGTAGTTCAAATTGTTTAAGTTTTTTGTGAACTAGCACCGCTGTTCCGCCATGCGCCCTATTATCAGGGTGATTAGTACTATAAACATTGAAATCTGAAATATTAAAAAAACTCTTGTCAGTAAAGTGGGTTTCTAAAATCAAACATATATCTATTTTTTGTTGAGTAATAAAAAGCTTGAGTTCTTGACAATGATTTGCCAAGCCGTTGGCGTTCCATAGTGCAATCCTAAGGAAATGATTCATTTAATTTAGTTTACTTATGACGGTGGTTAATAGATTCATAAGAGAACCTATTTGCTGAGTTTGTTGGAGCAGTAGCTTTTCAAATTTGTCTATAAAACTTTCAATGGTTTTTTCTAAGCTATCCATCCTACAGGTTTCAGTCATTTGTGGCATTTTTTTAGAAGCAGCAGCTTGGGCGTATGATTGAGGTCGATCAGTTGTATCAACTAAAGGAAGACTGGGCGGAATTTGGGCAGAGGCTTTCTCGTTATTTGATTTGGCGTTGTTCAGAGATCTCTTTCTCAAAGGAGGGTGCAGATTGTTTTTGATCTCTCTGTATACGGAACAGCCTTTATAATTTGAAGGATTTCCTTCACATAAGGCACATTTTGGTGGTTCAGAAATAAGTTTTTTACATGTTAGCGTATCGTGATTTTGACAGCATTTTACACATCGATATGGGTGCCAGCAATAAGTTTTAGTGTGGCCATAGTTTTGGCACCTTTTACACTGAACAATATCAGGCTTCTTTAGGGGAGGCTCGAAAGTGATTTTAGCATTTAGAAGGTATTCAATATTAAATATGTTCTTATTGCCTGAATTAGGCTCAAGATCGACAAAAAACAATGATAGAGGCGTTTTTGTTTTTTGTTGCCGGATGTTGACTACATTACGGACTTGAAACCCGTAAGCCTCAATAGCGTTTTTTATGTCCAAAACGTCTGTGGAAAAGTGCATGTTTTTTAAAACCACGCGATAAGCTTTGTCTTGCTTAAGCTGGTAAGTATGAAATTTTGCATAAATTTCTTTAAGTTTGTGAACTAGTTTTCGGTATGCTTCCGAAGACTCTGTATTGATTTTAATTTTGTTTTGGCTCAGACATTTATACATGTAAGAGCTACTGGGTATTACAGACTCAATCATGGTGACCATACATTTAACATCTAATACGTCAGGAACAAAAATCGGAGGAGGCTTGACTTCAGGAGCCTGAGATGACGCCGCCGCGTCACTCTCTTCCATTACATCAGTCTCACTGATGGCATCAAATCGGTTTGAGGTCTTAACCGTAAAGTTAGACGAGCTTTGGCGGGATTTTTTTTTGATGTTTCAGAGGTGTTTAGACCAGTATCACTGATAGATCTTTTACTTGAAGATGCGGCTATCTGCCATTCATTTTTGTCATCTTGTTTATTTTCGCTATTGCGTTGCGGGATAAAATTATTTACATGATGTGTTATGCTTGATTTACTGTAACTATGGTCGTGCATAGGATTCCCGTTATTATAAGGGGCTTTGTCATTGGTATTAGCAGTCTCAGGTTGCATATTTAACAAACAATGAATGAAATACAAATGTCAACAAAAACAAAACAAAGTCAAATTGGGGTTAGGTCAGATCAAAACCGTTATAACATCACATTATGGGAAATATTCGTCAACACTACAAATTAATTAACTAGAAACAAATAGTTCTCGACCTTTTTACCAACACTTAAAATATTTCTTGATGAAATATCAGATATTTGTCAAATATCGGCGCACTAAAAACAAATACATTTTCACTGCACTACAACAATTCGTGTTTACACAGGAGTATTCACAATTTAGGAATTAAAGCATTTTGTCAGCTGTTTTGAATAAACAAGTAGGTTCTATGATACCATAGACAAAAATAATTTTTTATTTAATTCTTTTTGTCTATGATGATACTCAATAGCATTAAAAAGTTATAAGGTTTACCATCAGGATGCAGCACTATTTTTTTTTTTTTTTTGCATTTATGACAGCTAAACAGCTAATTCGAACCAAGCAGCAACAAAAATCTGTGATACACAATAGGAAATACTTAAACGCCAACCCCGTACGAAGGTCCAAATCCAAAGGCTATTATTTGGAATACCGTGTCTAAGTTGGCATAGATAAAACCATAGAAAGAACATGTATGTTTGTTCTATGATAAAACAAACTCCCTGTTGGGTAGACTCACGGCCGCCTTTAACTCCAGGCCGCGGCCTTCGAACTGGCAACGTCGCAAGTGGTGTTGTAACAGCTGTTTTTGTTTGGACGCAACGGTACTTTCCTGTTAAAGGGAACATTCATTATTATCGATGATTTATTTTCGATATATCGATATTTTTGTTTTACTTCACGATTGGTACTTCTGTTTTAATATCTTCAAACGCATTTTGGCATTTAAATTACAAATTAAGAACCAACCTTGTTTTAGGCAAAAGCCTATATATTGGATTAGGACATGAAACTATTCCAAACTAACCTAACATAACTAACCAAACTTGCTGTATAGGCTAAGTTACCGTTTCAAAATTCCATGTGATAACAGAAAAGGCATAATATGCCTTTATGGGGAATAGATAGCCTATAAACGGAATTTTGAAATGTTACAGCAAGTTTGGTTGGTTAGGTTAGTTTAGAACAGTTTCATTTCAATATAATATTTTTTTTAAATTGTTTGTTGATACTGAACAATATTTATTTACTGTATTACTTGTCAGCTGTTATGTTTCAATTTGTTACTATCAATATATCGGATGGAAAACAAAAATATCGATATATCGAAAATAAATCATCGATAATAATGAATGTTCCCTTTAACAGGAAAGTACCGAAGCAACTAATGGTATTCGTGTACTGTATTTACGAAAGATTGGTTACTGGACTACGACAATATTGACTCCGCTTAACAGTGTACAGATATAGATTTTAATTCATATTGTTTCAATTTTCAATTCTGTATGTTTTATTTTTAATATTTTAATATTTATATTCATAAATCAAAAATTAAATCAATAAAGTGCGAATTAATGAGCTGATGTCACCTGTCTGCCATGTTATCTTATGGGACATCTGTCACTGAGCAAAACACCACTTGCGATGTTGCCAATTCTACCAGGCCGCGGCCTGTAGTTAAAGGCGGCCGTGGTAGACTGCGACTGATCAACGTACATGCGTTATATAGTAACTTGTCTTCTCAGTATGTATGTAATCAATGTAGCTGTGATCTCTGTGCTCGAGACAGACGAGACGAGGCGAGACTGGCGAGAGTCGAGCGACTCGCGAGAGCAAGATCAAGATGTCGGAGAAGAGAAGAGTGGATGGTGAAATTCTTTAAGCTGTGTACATAGTTTTCCTGTTGTGTAAAATTCCCATTAGTTATTATTATATTTTGTATTAGGGAGTAATATATTTAATGATGGCAGCTGTAGGTGCTTTAGGCCCAAAACCAGAATTTATTGTGAGTTGCAAATACCGTTTAGTTCGAAAAATCGGTAGTGGTTCGTTTGGTGACATTTATCTCGGGATCAACGTCACGAATGGAGAGGTAAGGAACCATTAATAGTATTAGTAAGTTAGGCTAATTTACTTGCTTCCATGGAATAATGTGCTCTTGAATTCGTGGTAGGAGTAATATTGGATTGGTAGGTCTAATAAATGATCGGTTAGTTGATGTTTAACGAATAGGCCATCTGAAAAATTTTAGAAGTAGCATTTTATTCTTTGTCAAAACTTAGCCTAGGCCTTGGCCTACCCTTCGTTTTTAATGAGTTCATGATTTTCAACAAGGCTAGCCTAGGCTTCAGGGTTGATAATGAGCCCTAAACTGAGCCCTTATTCTTTTGGTTGGCCCTTAAAATTCCTTTGTTTATATTATGCCTACAAGAATGTTTTGTACCGTAACTAAGTTAGCCTAGGCTATTAGGCTTTTTAACTTATTTTGGCCTAAGATCAATTATTTAGGCTTGATTCTGAATTAGGCCTATTCAAAGTTAAGGTAGGCCTAATTTTTTAATATGTCTACAACGCGATAGGCTATCCCAGTTTTTAGATGTATGCTTACCGTACAGTTTTTTTCACGCTCAATCCCAAAATGCAATCAGTCCGACAAGGAGAGATTCCTAAGTGGCCGTAAAACGAAGGTTAGAATTAGGAATCTAAGGTTCATTGAGTGGTAGGCTACACTGATGGAAATATGGCGTGGTCTGTTGACTGAGGACTGAGTGAGGAGGAGAGCAAACAGCTGTTTATACTCGACTTAATGCGGAATGAAATCAATTTGTTTTGAAACCAAATAATCAGTTCTTATTTAGGGTAGGCATGTGAGAAAAGTAGGTTCGGGTTTAATGCGGATTTGTGACTGTATTAAGTGTTTTGCAGTGAGGTTAGATTAGGAAGGTTCTTAAAGGTTAGGTTATAATTAACCAACTCATTAATTTATGCAACTTCCAGACTGTTTTTGCACAATTGAATAGTGGGTGAAACACAATGAAATAATAATATCAAAAATGCTTCATTTTTTATGGTACGGTACCCTAACTTATTGGTATTTTATTATGTTTCACCCACTATTTAACTGTGCAAAAACAGTCTGGAATTTGCATAAATTAATGAGTTGGTTCATTATAACCTAACTCTTAACTTAAGTAGGCTACCTAATGTTTAACCTCATTTCAAAGGACTTAAACCCTCCAACTGTCCATAGTATTGGTATTAATGTCCGCCCATTTATTGCGCAATCGCAGGGTTTTATTAAAATGTAAGTCAGCCATCTCTGTACTCCTTTTAAAGCAAATGCCTTTTTCTCAACCAAAGAATTTTTAGATTGTAAAACTTTTGTTTAATGTTTACAAAACGATGACTGTATTATAGGTTAAATGTGTTTAAAATGTATTGACCTTTCCTATTGCAATGTAACTGAATAGGCCTACATTCAATTCAATTCAATTCAAAACTTCTTTATTCATCTCTTGTACAAAATACATTGAATAGTGTCCACAGTTCAGCTGCAAGTAGGCCTAATATTTATTAAATACATTAAGAAAATAAAAACAAAATTTCACGAACTTACATTTTTTTTATAGACAAGAATTGTCTATTTGCAAATTTACTTCCTTATATTATTATATTTTTGTAGGCTAACTTAATCCTTATAAAATTTAGAACAAAGTGGCTAGGCCTATTTTAAAATATTTGTAGACTTATAAATTATAAAAATTTATTGTGCGCAAACATAAAAGTTGTTAATTTATTTGATAATTTTTGAGAAATGTTGGTTAAGTGTACATGACAGGAAGCTTGTGTAGAAAAAGAGTTGATGTTTTGTTTTACATGGAGGAGGTTACTAAAAATGTACAAAGAAGGCACAGTCATAATGTAGCTCTACAAAACTAGCTCTACAACAACCTCTAGAGGCAAGGTTAGCAAGTAAGTTACTCTGATGGCTTTTCTCTGCCATCGAAATACTTTAGTTACATGGGGGGAATTTCCCCAGAGACTGATGCCATAACTAATGAGTGAAATAAATAAGTTATGGGTGAAAAACATATTTCGTACATTTAGCGTTACCTAGCTAAGAATGCATAGCCTAACCATAGCTAGGAATGTGGCCGATAATTTCCATCAATATCACTACTTACCTACTTCTTCAGGATTATCAACCAGCCCTTCAAAATCACTACACTTAAATCTTCTTATAATGCACCACGTAAGTTTATATAGACCTATCACTACTTTTTATTTTTAACACTAAAACAATGATTTAAACTTAATAAAACACATTAGTCATCAGTGCGAGGTTAACCAAATTGTTTTCAAATACGCACGTCAGCTGTCTGCTACAATATTTTTGGAACTAAAATGAAAAGCGTCTAGAAACAGACATCAGGAGAAAGCTTAGAATCTGCCGAAAACAACCATACCAATCTCGATCCAGTTCTATCTGATTCAGTCTGTCCCAGATCCTTCGCCGTAAACTATGTTTGTGTGTCGCAAAAGCGACGCATAATACCACGGCGGGTGTGTTGTGCGTCGATTATACGACGCTTAACACTCGGAGGTTAATACAGTCACGAATCCGCATAAAGTCCGACCTATCTTCCTCACATGCCTTTTCTAACATAAAATGCAATTTAAAAATAATATTAAGGTTGGGTTGGGTTAGGTTTGATTAAATTAGAATATGTAACATCATTTATTAGTTTCATGATGGATAGCCTCTGGATCTTTAAAATTAGCAGAATATGGTTTACTTTACCTTGCCTAAAATGATCCTGTTTAGTCGTCAAACACGACAGCTGTTTCGTGCTACAATGAGCACATCTTCAAAGTGAAGAAACACAAAATCAACACATTTCGCCCGCGGTTGAGCACGTCAAAAACACATAAAGTACATGAAGTTCACACAAACACAACATATTAAAACACTTGGCCAAGTACCGCGAACACGCGATGCGGCGCCGGTAATGTGTAGGTCATGACTGGCGCGTGGTCACGGTGGTATCGGAGACGTTCACTTCCTTCCCCATCACCTGTTGTTTATCAGGACCCTTACGCTGATTGGTCGAGTTCATGATGCGGATGGCGGTGTTATAAATAATATTACGATAGCCTACAAAACTTCGAATAAACTTTCCAACATCCTACAACAGACCAAGAACAACCCCCGTAGTAAAGAAAATAGTACAGGAATTTATAAAATCAAATGCGACAACTGCCCACGTTTTTACATCGGACAAACTGCTCGTTCATTCAAAACCAGATTTAAAGAACATTTACCGAAAAGAAACGACAAATCCGCTTTCGCCGACCATCTCATCAACCACAACCATAACTACACTGATATAGAAACAAATCTGGAAGTCATGCATTTTTGCAACAACAGGAGGCGCATGGATAGGCTACAATAGAAGAATTTGAAATCTATAGAGCAGCTAGAGAACTTCCGGACCATATCTTGAATGAGCAGCTCTCATTCAAATCAAATATTATTTATAACACCGCCATCCGCATCATGAACTCGACCAATCAGCGTAAGGGTCCTGATAAACAACAGGTGATGGGGAGGGAAGTGAACGTCTCCGATACGGTACCACCGTGACCACGCGCCAGTCATGACCTACACATTACCGGCGCCGCGTCGCGTGTTCGCGGTACTTGGCCAAGTGTTTTAATATGTTGTGTTTGTGTGAACTTCATGTAGGCCTACTTTATGTGTTTTTGACGTGCTCAACCGCGGGCGAAATGTGTTGATTTTGTGTTTCTCCACTTTGAAGATGTGCTCATTGTAGCACGAAACAGCTGTCGTGTTTGACGACTAAACAGGATCATTTTAGGCAAGGTAAAGTAAACCATATTCTGCTATTTATTAGTTGCTGATAAATGAAACATTTATGCACTGTGGCACGTTTTCACTTTAAGGCACAACGGGATATTATGTACTAGGGCTATGCGATTATGCACTATGGCACGTTCATTAACAGACGTTGAGGGTTGGTTTGAGGACGAACATGTCGGCAGTGGCCTAGCTTCTATTCCTGATATTTTACGAGAATAAATTCTATTTCATAATTTAGCCTGTATTGATGTGATTAGGGAATAGTATGTATCGTAGTTGATTTATTGTATTTCCTAAACGGCACCAAAGTCCCATTTTCTTTTAAAAATCGAGTTAGGCCTATTGCATTTATTGTAACTCTGATTTTGATCTCATGGCGTCTATGGTTTTGTCTGTTTAATATCAAATGTAAACGGTAATTATTCCCGTTTACATTTACATAAAAGTGACATTTTTTTTCCATTCTGACCTAAATTTCACGCTGAATCCGAAAATGTTTTTATTTTTCAGAAAAGACCGGAAACTACAGAAAGAACGGAAAAAGGAAAAAAATTTCTACTTAAAATGCGTTAAGTTTATGTGGGTACCTACTCAAAATATGCGGAATATTGTGTAGATTAAGAATATGCAAGAATGGATCCGTTGAAAAACACCGGAAATGGGATGACCAATTAGTTAGGTTTGGTTAAGTTAGGTTAGGATGAGTTTGGTTAGGTTAGGTTGGGTTGGTTAGAATAGGGTTAACCCTAACATAACCTGACCTAACCCAAACTAACCAAACCCAATCTAACCTAACCCAACATAACCTAATTTAAACTAACCTAACTTAAACTAACCTAACTTAACCTAACCAAACACAACCTAACCTAACATAACCTAACCAAACCTGTCCTAACCTAACCTATCTTAACCTAACTCAACCTAACCTTACATAACAACTCAACATAACCTAACATAACCTAACCCAACCAAACCTATTCTAACCAATTATTCAGTTTTTTTTTTCGTCATATCTGGTGTTTTTCATCGGATCCAAAAAAAATCTTGCATATTCTTAATTTACACTATATTCTGCATATTTTAAGTAGGCCTACCACATGACGTATTTAGAGAGAAAAAAATTTCCCGTTTTTTCGGTAATTTCCGTTGTTTCAGAAAAAACCGTCATTTTCGGATTCAGCGTGAAATTTAGGTCATTATGGAATAAAAAA